CTCCGATTAAAATCAATGATAAACCTTCCACTGAGTACAGGATCAGACCTCCAAGGATGCAAAGTGCAGCACACCCACACAGTCTGGCCATTTTCCATAGGGCTAAGCAAAAATAAGAGGCAGGTGTTGCAGAGATCAGAGCTATGTCCGGTCTTGTTTAAAATCCTCCTTCATGATCAGAAGAGGGAGAAAACAGAGAATTGAATTTGAAGTTGATACTGATCAACAAATATAGCTGAACACATGAACTGTACATCATATTACAAAATGGAAACATACAGGGCTTGTTAAAATGGTATGGACTTTTGCCTGACTTCTTGTCCCACATGGAATCTCACTCCCCTCTCTTATATCATTTATCCCTAACTTCATTATTTGTCCTTTGGATTATTTTTTAATCCAGGTGTTGCATAAATTATTTTCTAGCTTTTCATTAGAACTCCCCATGGGTCCACCTCCCCTTTATTGCCTTCCTCTGTGAGGCAGTACTATTCAGGTGATCTTATCATGAAGGGAACAAAAAGAGGCCCTAGAGAGGCAAGGAATAGAAGCAGGTGAGATGAGTGAGCCAGGAATTGGAATGTTGCGAGAAATAAATGTAATTGTTTTTCAGATTATGGAAGAAACAATATTAACTAACTTGGCAGGCCCTAAATTGGACATAGATTTGTCTGCTCTAAGCAAGGGCATTCCATGTTTAAGGTAACTACTTTGATGCTAAAAATAAGGGAGGTATCTATGCATGAGGGTGGGAATTTCCAGAGGTCCCTGGGCAGGGCTGTCTCTAGATTTTATGGGGTCTCTTTCTGAAGTAACACAAGGCTCCATCCAACTCTCTCCTCACCCCTGACCAGCCCCGAAACCCTGACCAGTAGCCCTGGCTACTCTGCTGGACAATAGGACCAAACTCCATGGCAATGACTCCTAAGTTCCTTGGCAAAGTTAATTTATTCTGTCACCATGAAATATCCTTCATTTCTGTCTTCCCATCTCCACACAAACATCCACAGCCACAGCTCACAATTGGAAATACTCACTGACAAAGTTTGGGGGTGGTTATTTTTGAGAGCGGTTTCTTTTGCTATGCTCCCCAGGCATCCTAGCCCCACTTCCCAGGGCAGAATGGCTCAGGGCGGCCATAGCTGGAATGCACGGTGTGGGTGCACCTTGCACCCACCTCCAGCAGATGCTGCAGACTGCGGCATGGGCTGCGCTTGTGAGCTGCTGAACTTCGTCAACTACTGCTGACTTTAAAGGGAAGGGAGGGGGTCAGCGCTTCTCAGGAGATACACAGGATGCAAGGGGCTAGACTACAGCAGTGTCAGACAATGCCCCTTTGCAGTCATGGTAAGTTATCAGTGGCACTAGCTGGTTTCAGTATAGAACTCTATTTAACATTACAGGCCAGGTGTTGGGGTCTGGCTGAACCACACACAGCATTGGTAGGGGGACATAAAATTTACCTTCGCACTCTGCCAGTCTAGGGGCTGCTGACTGCAGGACCAGTCTCTAGTACTGCTCTAACTTATACCAGATTCCAGCACCCATAAGCAGCCAAAACCTCAGCTAGAGATCAGTGCATAGGGGCAATCTGGGCACATTGCCTTTCCTCTGGCCATGCCTCCTTTGCTATCAGCAAGGAGAATGGGAGCTGGCATAAGAGGCCATATAGCAGCCCTATGCCCTCTGGTGCTGGGGTGTTCCTCTTGGGGCTAGATACATCAGCTGTACATTCAGAATTCTCTAATGGTGTTGCACAAAGTGACTGCACCATGCTGGGCAACCCAGCCTGGTGTTTGAAACCCTATCCTGCTGCTGGACCGGTGGAAGAAGCTCCCAGTATTCTCTCCCCCATATAGTGCTTCCGAGCAGTAGAGCACCCTAGATGTGTCCCAAAGCAGGAAAGAAAGGAAGCTCTGGGAGTGACTCTCTGACACCTTCAGTTGCTTGTAACACTAATTTTATGAAGCAAATTTCTGCAAGCATATCCAGGCAGTGCCCTCCCTGTAGACAAAGTGCTGGGAATGCCTATTGCTTAATTGTTATGCACCGATGGAGATGCACTGAGCTCTGTACCAGGTACAAAGTGCAGACAGACCCTGCGAGTGCTGACCAACCCAAATAAGATTTGAAGACTAAAAATGCTATAAAAGTGCTAGACCTTATTACTCTTTATCACTATTATTTATAGTAAAAATTACTTTCTTCTGTTGTTTTTCAGTGAGAGTGTTGAAGAAACATCGCCAGTTCCTGAGACCCAGGACAAAGGTGAATGTTTGATTTTTTTACTTATTTGAGAGTTTGAAGTTTTTTCTTAATCTGAATACTGATATTTTGTATGCAATAAAATGCTATTGCACACACAAAAACTAAAATAAAAGAACATTATTAAGGTTGGAAAGTCAAGCACTCAAAAGTTAGGAAATGTCAGAATTAATGTTACCTGTGTGACTTTAATTCAGCCCCCTTGTGTGTATGCATGGTACAGTCTTCAGTTACATGATCACATACTGTTTTTTCCACAAGATCCCTGTGGATAGACCCACTCTGGGGTTGTTCCTTAGTACTATTCTTTAAATATAGCTTTTTGTGTGGCGTTTTCTAGGATTTTAAAAAAAAGCAAACTGGAAAAACAGAAATTCCATCATGTGGCATCGTACTGACACCCACATGGGTCATCAGCAGGGTTAGAACTTTTATGTCCACTGCTCAGACCTTTGCCACCTGAGTTAACAGAGTAACTAATAGCCGTTATACTCTATGTGGACCAGCTTAGAGGAGGAGAAGACACTTTGCTAGTGGACTTCACAGATATTTGCTGACAGCAGAGGAATGGTGAGACTCAGAAATCTTATGTGCCATTCCAGTCTCTGTGCTTTACAGGGCAGATTCATCTATCACTTCTCCTCCAATCTATCCCTGTCCTAGTCCTGTCTCTTCCCTACCTCTGGCTCCTCATCTCTGTCCCATTCTCCTAATGGAGTAAGTCCCAGTATCTTCTCCGTAGACCTCTCACCCCTCATTGCCCAACCTGTCTCCCACTCTGGACCCAGTCCCAATCTTCCCACTGCTCCCAGGCCCAGTCTCCTTGGCTAGCCATTTGCAGTTTCCTCACCATCCATCTCCGGCTCCTTGTCTCCAGACTGCTTTCACATCCAGTCCCCGTTCCTCATTCTTGGCTCCTTGTCTGATCAGTCTCTCTCCCCCTGCCCCAGTTCCAATCACCCCCCCCACCTGTGCTCCTCATCCCCACTAGCTCCCAGTCTCAGTCTCCTGTCCCAGGCTCCTCATCCAGTCTGTCTCCCACTCCCCATCTTCTTGTCCCAGGCTCTTTGCCCAGCCAGTTCCAGTTCTTCGCCCTCATCCTGCTCTTCTTCAGAACTGTCTCCCCTCTCTCCATCTCCTTCCTGCTCACTGGTTCCCAGTTCCAATCCCATTGCCCAGCCAGTCTCAGTCTCATCCCAGCTCCTCAGCTGATCTCAGTCTCTCCACCTACCCACCAGCTCCCAGCCCCTCCCTCCCCCCATTTCTTTCTCTGCCTCCCAGTTCCAGTCTCCTTGCCCAGACAGTCCAGATTCACTGACTACTCCCAGTTCTAGTTGTCCCCCATGTCCACCTGTCTCCCATCTTCATCCCCCACTCCTCCCTCGGCTCCTTGTCCTACTTTACTGAGACAGAGCCTGCCTGTCCTGTGATGCCCTTATTGCTGGACCTAGGCAGCGTGAAGGAGGAAGCTGCCTGAATCGAATGCAGGGGATACAAGGACTGGATCTGGTAAGGTGGGGGGAGTGAAATGACTGATATACCAGCCTTTGGGGATGATCTTACCGGGGGTTGCTTGGAACATATCAGCTGTAGCACGTGTTTGAATAAGAACCCCTTTTCACTTCCTGCTTCCGGGGGGTAGTTTTGGCTTCCTTGGAACACAGTGCTTGACAAGCATGGTGCATCAGTAAAGGCTGCTGTAATGGATACAGGCCTTGAAACAATTGCACTATTTCTATGATTAAAATCCACTAATGACTTGCAGAAATGGAGCATAAACTATCACTGATAAACTTTATGGGTTTATCCTTCTCTGTTCCCCCATCTTATTCCATGTATTGTTACTGTTGCCAGGGCCAGCTCTATGCACCAGCAAAGCAAGCAAGTGCTTGGGGCGGCGCATTTGCAGGGGCGGCATTCGGGCCATCCGTGTGTATGTGTGTATGTGTTTGGGGGCAGGCCCTGTGGCCACTCACCCAGGTAGACGCTGTCCCGGCCCCCAAGCTGATGTCGAAGTCCAGGTGGAAGAGCCGCAGCGGGTGGCCAAAGCTGGCCCTGGAACTGGGGTCCAGCAGCAGCGCGTCGTGCGCGGGGGACGCCCTGGGGCCGCTGTGGTTTGTGCCACCGGGCCTGGGCGGGCCATCTGGCGGGCTCCAACACATGGAGCGGAGGACACTTGGGCTGGGGTCCACCCCGCGGGGCGCACAGAGCCGCCTGCAAGTGCTGCAGGGCGGTCGCCCCCCAGTGCCGCAGCCAGGGCTGGGCGAAGTGGCCCGAGCCACCCAGGGGCTGCGGCAGGGTGGCCAGGAGCAGCAGCGGGGCCATAGAGGGGACCGGTGCCTGGGGCGCTGCCGTGCGGGACCCACGTCCCGCTCTCTGGGGCTCCATTCCCCGCCGGCCGCTCCCTCTGAGGCTGCCCTGCCCCGGCTCCTCAGCCCCCTGCCGGGGCGGTCCCCCCGGCTCTGCCATCCCAATTCCCGGCTGGTCTTGGAGGCCTGAGTCCCAGCTGGAGGGACCCTGGGCTGAGGCGCGGCCCGGGAGCCCCGCTGCTTACCCCGACCCTGCCAGCGCCAGACTGGCTGGAGGTGAGGGAGGAGCGGGCGGAGAGTCAGGGCCCCCCTGGGCGCTGGGAAGGAGTTGGGTGGATGCAGCCTCCGCCCCTGCTAGTGTCATGAGCGGGATGCTGATGACCTGCCCTGGGAGCGAGTTACCAGTGACCCAGGCCTGGGGCAGCAGGAGGGTGCAGGTGATGGTGGTGGTGGGGAGAACCCAGGGCTGGGGCGACAGGGGGGGTGTAGTTGGGGAGGGGGGGCACTGGTGGAGGATAAAAGGGGGGACCCAGAGCTGGGGTGGCAGGGGGTGCGGGTGTGGGAGGAAGAACCCAGGACTCGGGCAGCAGGGGGGTGCGGGGTGGGGGGAGCCCAGGGCTGGGGTGGGGGGCAGCAAAAAAAATTTTTGCTTGGGGCACCAAAAATCTAGAGCCGGCCCTGACTGTTGCTTATTTATTATGGCAGCACCTACAGGCTAGGGCCTCTTTGTCCTAGGTACTGTAAAAACGTGCCCCGAAAGTAAAAAGCCCCCTGAATGTAAGCAAAACTCCTAAAGGTAAAAGACAGTCCCCACTATATTTACAAACACATCATGAGAGAAAAGAGGCAAGATACTGCTCTCCAGTAATGCTAGAAGAGTGATGCAATGTGTAAGAACTTGAAGTGGAAACTAGAGATGGTTGAACAAACGATGTCTGTGTTCTCGTTGACAGATCCATATGTTAACACGCCCCATGCTCAGGATACTGAAGACACATTAAGGACTTCTGAGGTAAATCTGTTTTAAAATAGTTTTACATGAGAGGTACTCCTTGTATACAGCTTTTGGCAATGAGCATAGAGCAGGCAGCCGGGGACCCAATCAGGAGTGGAAGGAGAGGCTAGAAAGCACAGCAGGAAAGGGCCAGAAGGAAACGCAGTGGGGACAGTTGGAGAAAACAAGGGGGAAGCACAGAGAAACTGGGGATATTCAGAGAAAGAGGGACGCAGTAGAGGGAACAGGGAATGGGTGGAGCTGAGGTTCCCACACAAAAGGTGGATGGATCCACGGTTTACTCAAAATATGGATATTTAAATGTTATATAAGGAGCTGAAATTCCATCTAGTGACTTCCCTCTTGTCATTCCTGGCATCACCAGGACCCTGGATGGAATTACAGCCCCTCCCCCCAATGGCTCCACAGCTGCCTGTTATACTCTCTGTACCTGCAGAGGAGCAGTTAAACCCTCAGAAAGGTGTACAATGAGCAGGCCATTTCCTCCTGTGTCAAACAGAACCTTTCCCAGACAGATTGCTGCCGTCTTCCTGTCTCTTCTAGGAGCCATGTTTCTTCGCCATCTAAGCCCCAGCTTGTGCTGCTGTGACTGTGCTGGCCACCAAGCACTAGCAGTGCTGTCAGGTGCAGGGCCAGAGATGGGACTCCTGTCACACTGATATACTAGGTCAGTTGTACAAGGAGGCAGCTGGGTTACTTGTGCCTTTTTTAAAAAATAACCCCCAAATACCCAACCTCAGGGGGTAGTTCGTAGGACTCCAGGACTCCTAGCGACTGGAGTCTCAGTGGGACTGGCCAGTTGGGGAAAAGGGATCGTAGGGTATGTCTAGAACAGGGGTTCTCAACCTTTTTCTTTCTGAGCCTCTCCCCCCCAACATGCTATAAAAACTCCGCAGCCCACTTGTACCACAACAACTGTTTGTCTGCATATAAAAGCCAGGACCAGTATTAGGGGGTAGCAAGCAGGACAACTGCTTGGGGCCCACGCCACAGGGGGCCCCATAAAGCTAAGTTGCTCAGGCTTCAGCTTCAGCCTTGAGTGGCGGGGCTAAGGGCTTCACCCCACATGGGGGTGCGGAAGGCTTCAGCTTTCTGCCCTGAGCCCCAGCAAGTCCAATGCCAGCCCTGCTTGGCGGACCCCCTGAAACCTGCTCGTGGCCCCCCAGGGGGCCCTGGACCTGTAGGTGAGAACCATTGGTCTAGAATAACCTTGGGATGTAATTGCGGCTTGAGCTGACATACCCGAGCTAGCTTTGATCTAGCTAGCTTGGGTCCTAGAGCAATGAAGCCACTATACAAACCCACTCAGAACCCTGGGCAATTACTCCTGGGGCTAGCCCATGCAGAAGCCCATGGTACCACAGCTGCTCCAGTATCCAAGCTAGTTAATTAAAGCTGGCGTGGATATGTGTACACGAGCTGCCATCACACCCTGTGATTACAGCGTAGACATACCCTTACAGGCTGTATGTGCCGCCACCCAAACAAATGTGATCAAAAATCGGGTCACCTTATTTTATGCATCTGCACAACAGCATCATCTTCTAATACACACAGCTATTCAGAGTAGCCTATCCAAAGGGGTCAGAAGAGAGAAAGTAGACGAGAAGGATTTGTGATGAACCAGCTATTAGCTCAGCAAGTTGTAAGCTTGTAACATCTTTTCACTAAACCTCGGCTAGCTTGGGTCTCAGATTGCTCCCCCTCTTTTCTATTGATAAGACAAACCTGGGCTGAGTAAAAGGAAAGAGCCGATAATGCTCATGGGATATGGCTCCACGGGCTAGTAGTGGCATCAGAAGCAGATACTGGAGTCTTTCTTTAGACTGAAGGTGAGCTGCAAAGGACTTTCTAAAACACTGGGTTTGTGCCCTTTTTTGCTGCTTTCTCTTGGATGCAGAATACTTGGAGGGGTTATTTAAAAACAAACAACCCCCCCCCCTCTTTTCTTTAACCTTTACAAATATTAGGCATGTCAAGCCTGGTCTTCTCTGATTTTGCTAGAGAACAGGTTGGGGTCTTCCATGTCTATTATGAGCTTCTACACCTCAGCTGACAGGGTGGTGATGTGCAATCTCTAAGAAAAACACTCCTGTCTCCCAAGTGTTCAACAGTCACAGGAGTCAAATAGGTGTAAAACCAAAAAAAAACCCAATCTGAGTCTGGCTAAAAATCCCTTCTCTTCCCTGTTGCTAAACTTTCACTCCTGTGATTTTTCTTGTTCTCTAGTTGCTAGCAGGGTGGAGAAGGCCTGAATTTCTAAAATGAAAAAAGAAAACAGAAATCTTTTTGGAATAATTATTTCAGGGCTTTTTCATAACGAAGCAATAAATAGCAGTAGCCCCAGTTTTTCTGCCCTCTGCAGGTCTCTGCTAGACAGGAGAAAGATTTGGACTTACGGTCAGTCTGCTCCTGACTATGCGTTATCAGCCCTTGTGGGATCAGCCTTGAGGTCTCATTTACCTAAAAGGAGACAAACGCACGGACTGATGGGTGAAGACACAAATACTCAGAGGGATCCATGCCACTGGCCATTACTTACAGTCCAGTAACAAAGTCTTGTTATTTTCCGAGACATGGTCCAGTGGACCCTAAAAGTAGAAAACATGAGTCAGTTGTTACTTTTCCCATCCTTCAGTGAAAACATCTTCATCCCCCTGAGCTGCTTTCACCCCATCTGGTATTCATAATAATTCACAAGCTCCAAGCTAAAGTGGCAAATGCTTGGGGAAACTGGAGCCAATACAACAGCTGTAGCTCATGTGAGTAGTCACCTTAACTTAAGGACGGGGTCAGTAATGAGGAGGGCTGATATTTACATGGTCCCAGGAAATGGTTTGGATTGAATTTGTTAAAAGAAATCAATAGGGTGCTGTTCTTTGCCTGGCCAGATGGCAGCCTCCCTTCAAGATCCCTGTGTGCTCATCAAGTAATCCGGGCACTGGGCTAGAAGGTCAGCTCTTTTGTTGTCCAGCAGCTGGGGTTAGAAACCGCTTAGAAAACTGTGACACCCTAATCCACATGCTGAAGAGGCTATAATTACATCTAGTGCCTCCAGCCTCATTCCTGTCATTACCAGAACTACAGCTGGAATTACAACACCACCCCCCAGTTAAGAGCTTCTTGTTATTCATTCGGTAGCTGTATAGCTCTGAAGAGCATGAATGAGACAGAATCATACACTGACTCTTTACTCTTCTCATGGTGCAGTTTGCCTTACCCTACGAAGACGCTGGAAATAAAGGCTGCTCATTACAAGAGAAAACAGGTACTTATATGACCCCCATCACTGTCTGTACCTATATATCTAGGCACTTATATGACCCCCATCACTGTCTGATCTAAGTGCATCCCAATTGTTAATGGCTTTTAGACTCTCAGAACCCCGGAGAGGTAGGGACATATCATCCCTATTTGACAGGCTGGTAATTGAAGCACAGGGTGAATTAAATGACTTGCCCAAGGTCACACAGGCAATCTGTGGTTGAGCCAAGAATTGAACCCCTGACCTACCTGCAACCTAGTCCAGTGTTCTACCCACTAGACTATCTTTCTTACCCCCAACTAGCCTTTCACTGACAGTATTTCATCAAATCTATAATTACTGGTTAGCACACTGTTGTCTATACAGAGCTTAGCCATAGTTTATTACTATCCTCCCTGGCTGCCAATATGGTGCAAGAGTGCAGAGTTTATATGGTACATATTGACATGTCATACCCCTGTTTTGTTTCCTCCACAGGAGATGCTGCTGTTTCAGAGTCCTCCACTCCCAGTTCAGGGGCTTCAGTGCCTGAGAAGGTGCCTGGTGTTCTGTCCACAGTTTTCTCACAATCATGCAGCAGCACAAGCGACATTTCATCACCAACCCCAGTGACCCCTTAGAAAATTCATACCAGATGCAAAACTTGTATGTCAAAGAGAATAAATCGCATATTCAACTATTTGGGTTTGGGTGTTCGTCAGTTACTTTAGTGATTAATTGTAGATTAAATCTCATGGAGTTAAACAAACCCTAATAGAAGAAAGAGACAAATGCAGGGAAACCTAAACAAAAGGACTAGTGAGTTATTCTTTTTACAGGTGGAAGATGTCACAGCCCAGCTGCCTGCCATCCTGTCCAACCTGATGGACAGCTGGGAGTGCTGTCATGGAGGCCAGCAGACATCTCAACGTCCTTCTTCAGAGCAGCAGCAAACTTAGTGCTCCTGTTCTTCGGTGACATAAGGTACCGGGAACTAACTGCTTTCCCTGGCTTGTGCCAGGTGCTAATGCACAGGGCCGGCTCCAGGCACCAGCTTAATAAGCAGGTGCTTGGGGCGGCCAAGGGAGAGGGGCGGCACCTGCGGCAATTCGGGGGCGGCAGGTCCCTCACTCCCTCTAGGAGCGAAGGACCTGCCGCTGAACTGCCACCGCCGATTGCGGTCTTTTTTTTTTGCTTGGGGCGGCAGAAATGCTGGAGCCGGCCCTGCTAATGCAGCACATTTAGCTGCGTTGGTAAC